AAGTAGTTGGTGGATCTTTTTTTGGGGGGGGGGTCATTACACATTATAAAAAATGCGGCAGCAAAGCAAAGTTGCTTTGCATGTATATTTGACCTAAAGACACGATGTCCTGACACCATTAACACCTTGTTCTTTGAAAATTAGGAGCAATTTGAAAACTTTCCATGAATTTAAAAAATACAAAAATCTCCACGAATTTCTACTATAAATGATTGATATCACCGGAAGAAAGAATGCACGAAGGTTGCCGTATATCTTTTCCATGTGTGTGATGAAGCCAAAAAAAACAATCACCAGCTAGTTTACTCAAGCAGTTTTCCACGCAAGTTCTAACCACGCTCGATTTAGCTTAACTTTACACGTCGATCGATCACTTTACCACACTGCTGTATGAATAATTTGAAATTGATCCAAATTGGCGTCTATTTCATGTTTTGAAATGTTTTAAAATTGACATGGTTTGCACAAACAACTTCTTGAATTGACCTTTGACTTCTACATGCTACGACAGACAGTACGATAATTTAACTGCAATTTATGAAATATTTATTCACAATTTCTAACTTTTAACGATGGGTCCCGTCGATATAATATTGCAGGTCACATTCCCAAATGAATCTACTAAATTTGCAATCGCTTTTCGTAACTTTGTAAGCGGTTCGTCGTCCTTTTTCATTCCTCTGTTGAGATAATCTGCTTATATATGGGGTATTTACCATACATTTAGGTAATGTTTTTGCAATTTAACTGCGTGATTGGCATGGCAATGACTTTGGTCGAATATACAAGCAACTTCGCCAACTTTTCAATCGCCTTTTCCAACTTTGCACGCTGTTTTTTTTTTAAATTTTACTGACAGCTCATGTGACAATGTGCTAATATAGGCTGACTTCATATGGCTTTTATTCATTTTTCCGTCCTCACAACTGCGGGGTTCTATATGCCAACAACTTAGGTCAAATGTACATAAACATCTACCAACTTTGCAATCACTTTGTACATCTTTGCACCGTGTGTTAACAGGCCAAAGACATGATGTGCCGACAGCGTCAACACCTTGTTCTTTGAAGATTAGGGGGAATTTGAAAACTTTCCATGAATTTAAAAAATTCAAAAATCTCCACGAGTTTCCACTATAAATGATTGGTATCACGGGAAGAACAAATGCGCGAACGTTGTCGCATATCTTTTCCATATGTGTAATGAAACCAAAAAAATAATCCACCAGCTACTTTACTCAGGCATTATCCCAAGCAAGTACTAACCACGCTCGATTTAGCTTAACTTTATACATCGATCGATATCTTTACCACACTTCTGTATGAATAATTTGTAAATCATCCGAATTGGCGTCTATATGTTTAGAAATGTTTTAAAATTGATATGGTTTGCACAAATATTTTTTTGAATTGATCTCTAAATGCAACGAGAGACAGTACGGTAAGTTTACTGCAATTTATAGAATATGTATTATATATTGTATCTGCTTATATATGGGGTATTTTCTATAAATTCAGTTAATTTGTTTGCAATTTAACTGTGAGGTTGGCATGACAATGACTTAGGTCAAATATACAAGCAACGTCGGCAACTTTTCAATCGCTTTTTCCAACTTTGCACACTGTTTTTTAGCATTTCACAGTCAAATCATTTATCGATTTTGAATAGATTCTTTTTCTTTTAACTGTGGGGTTTAGTAGACAGCCACTTTGTCGTATTTACATACATCTATCAGCTTTCCATTTACTTTTCACAAATTTACAGGATCCTCGCACCGGATTAAAGCTACCTTTACCGTATACATTCTAAAAGATTTGAGTGAAATTATAAATTTCTTTGGACATAAAAACATTTTATTATTATTCTACAAAAAGTTTCTTTACACTCACAAAACAAGAAATAAAATAAAATGAGTGACACAAAATAAAACAAATCGTTCGGTGATTTGGTCAGTTGGTCTTGGTACTTGACACTCCAGATGAAGCTTAAAAATTCTCAAAAGCTAATCACATGATCACAGAGCTCCAGATATACATGTATGTTGAATTTGTTCTGAATTTTCAGCACCTTAAGGTTTGGAAATATTCAAAAAATAAATTTATTCCACCTGTATTTTTCGTATTTGACCTATGACCTTTACTTGCTTCAGATGACAATTCGAGGCTGGTTTGCGAGGATTTTCGTCGCTTTTTTGAACTTTTACCTACAAGTTTCGAAAATACAACCACTTAGGTCAAATTTCAAAACAACGCTAGCAACTTTTAACTTTACACAACTTTGTACACTTTTTCTTAACTTTTATACATTCGATTGGTATGGCCGTCTGTTTATATATATATATATATTGGGGATACTTTTAATCAACTTTGGAGTAATTTTTCTAACTTCTAACTGCAGTGTCGGTAGGTGGATCACATTTGCAATCAAATCTACCAACATTTTTACACATTGTTTGCTATTTCCTAACTTTTTACATTGAGCTCGTAATACAGTTTGTTAACTCATGTGGAACATTCGCTCGATTTGAATAGATGTTTAAACTTTCAACTGCAGGGTTTGGTAGACAACCACTTTGATCGTATTTGCATCCAAATCTACAAACTTTCCAACTAATTTTCAAAACTTTGCAGGATCTTTGCTGCAAAATATTGTGATTGTCTGAATTTTGATACACAGCAATTTATTGGGCTGCAAATACAGAATGTATTGAGCAATATCCATTTGAATAGTTACAGGAACTTCATAAACATTGTAGGGTCCCTGTAGACTATATAAAATATAGTGAAACAGGATAGACACACACTCACTGGACAGGATCCACA